GTTATTATTGAACTTTTCTAAAAAAAACCATTAGCCTCATACCACAGTTACAGGTTCGCTTTCGTATACTGTTACCGTAGTAACAATAAATTTTTTATTTCTTAACTTTTCCGTAATAACAAAATGAATCCCGTAATTCCTTTCAACATGGGGATCGATCCGAACTGGCCAATAATAAACGTATCGTGACCATCGCTAATTAAAAAAAACGGTTTTCAATGGGCGCGTGGAGACTATCGTTACCAATTATTTCGAGACAATACCAAAACCGGAATCATTATTAACATTTAACGACTTCATTAACGATAACCTTCTTCTTTCCTTTAGCTATCACTACCCATATTTGGAGCAAAATTACCAGGTGATATTACAACATAGTCACATTTAAAACATTTGACACTGCTTCTGCAACAATAAGATACCCACGGCCTACAACTATTAAATTTTGCACTCATTCACCCATGCAAGATCATTGTTAAAACAATGACTAGCCTTTTTCGAGATTACTTTAATTATTAACAAATACTCTGCAATGATTTTAGAGTCTATTTCTCCTATTTGTAAGGATTCTTTCAGTGTTCACGAAGATTTCTATTATAATAAAGAAATGTTTAGATCGTTATTTAGTCTGCTAATGTTAATAATGAAAGAGATTTAGAAAATGAATATTAACTTCTTGTATATATAAAGGCGCGCCCTTGGCCTTCCAACAAGGACAGGACAATTTTAATAAAAAATAATAATTTTATAATTATACTCTTCGTTGTTACTCACTAAATCTTGCGCTCAAGTAGCTTTTATATCTTTTGTGCCTAATATAAATTGATAATGGAAGAACTCCACTCCAATAAATCATATTAACCTATAAAGCAGTCTTGTTTACTAGCATTGGATAAGTCCAGTCAAATCTTTGTGTTTAATTCTTATATAATAGTTTGTTGTACGTATCAATAAGTCCAACTGTATTGGTAGTAAACCGAAACCACCTGTATTCCTTTGGAATTCCGTGAGCCAATCAACTGTGTCAAATCTAATTCCTCTCGCCCCATTCGATCAATTAAGTAGTAGTTCTCGAAAGAACTACTTTGGAACGAATCGAAAACTTCTCCTTTCGTAAATCAATCAGTCGGTGCCCTCGTCATTTTGTTGCGCATTACTTTCCCAGATCTAAACATTAGCGTAACAATACTAAGTGAATTAGCAAGCTAAACTTTGATGCTTATAAATATCTATTGTTGCCTTTGGTAATTTTATGCAATATCTGCTTCTTGAAATAGAATTTAATGCACGGAATTAATGCTGACAAATTAATTAGCTCACCGAGGCCGCCAAGTTATTTTTTGAGATATGAGCATTGATGCTTTTAAATTCTTCTTTATTATAAGACATATTATACACTTATTTGTAAAGATTTGAAAATTATACAATAATAATAATAGTTTAATAATTTTCAACAAATATAATATTCGGAATTAAGAATTGAAAATTATAGAATTAAATCAATGTTCCAAAATTAAT